ACATGATAAACACACACGCATGCACCCACCCACACATGCACACACACACACATGCAGACCCTGCCTCCAGGAACAGCCAGCAGGAATTTCTTTACCCCACCCACCTCCTGCTCTGAGATCCTCCCCCTCTTCCAGGAGGAGATGGCCCTCCCCGCAGAGGGACGTGTGAGCTCTCCGCCCAATCTCTGCTCCCAGGAAGCAGCGGACGACGCCCCTGTCCCCAACAAGTCAGCTGGCCTCCCGCGGCAGGACTCCCCGTTGGAAGTCGGAGAAAGGCCTCATCTGCAAGGAGGGCCGCTGGAGGTGCCCGCACCTCGCTTGGGCTGCCGCGCCCGGAGCCGGGCCACGCTCAGGCCCCGCCCTCCCCGAGCAGCGGCATGAAAGGCCCCTTTTGTGGCAGGACAGGGCTCCGAGGCTGCACAATGCTCTCTTGTCAGAAGCCCTCCGAGGGCTGCCCAGCAGCGGGCGAGAAGGAAGGGAGCAATTTCGCAGCCGTTTCCGTGGCACCGTGGATGCGGCGGGGACTCACGTTTCCAGGCTCCTTCCTGCGGCTGCCCCGGCCGGCTCCGGCCCCCGAGAAGCCCAGGGGTGCGGGGCACAGAGCCTGGGCGCCGACACGGTCACCGGGAAGCCCACAGAGCTGTGGCCGCCACTCTTGGCCGGCCAGAGGACACGAGGCCCCGGGGTGCGGTGGCCGGGGTGGAATCCAGATCCTCAGTTGCACGCGGTTCCGCTCTTCCTGTTATTCTAAGGCGAAGTGCTTCGCGCATTTGGGAAGGGTTATTAACGCGGGTGTGTTGGGCGGCCCGTGGTCGGAGCTGGTTTCTGCCGGCTTGGCTTGCGGGGAATCTCGTTGGCGGACCCCAACGTTGAAGGAGCCGGCAGAAGGGCTCCGGCTGCGCAAAAGCCGCTGGCGAGCGTTCAGGCCGGCTCCGCGCCCTGGCTCTGCCCCGGAGAGACCTGCGCCGCCGAGCTGCAGACGCGGCGCTCGCTTCTCTGGGATCCCCTCCCGGATCCCGGCCTCCCCGGACGGCTCCCTCCCCGGGACGCCAGAGCCACCCCACGACCGCTGAGGACCCGCCGGACTCACTAATTTCTGTTCGCTCCGGTGGGATGAAAGTCTGGGATTTTATGTTGGCTTAGGGCTAGCCCGAAGGCAAACTGATAATTGATTTCTTTAAAGACCCGGCATTCAAAAAATTCTTTTCATGTTTCTCCAAAGCATTTTGACAGGCGCAGATTCTCCCGACATTCCAGAAAAGAGAGACGGGGATTATGTCCCGCCTCGGATAAGGGGAGGCATCGGTCGGGAGCGGCAGGAGACCTCCATTTCTCGAGAGAGGAATTCAGGGTTGGGATTAAGACTCCCGGGTGTGCGTCCTGCCCTCGGCTGTCAGCCCCGGGTCTGACATAGGGACGGACAGTGACGTCCGAGGGTGGCGCATGCTATAGGCTCAGGAAAACGGACAGCAGAGCCAGAGGCCCTGGCTTCGGTTCCTGACGGCTCCAGGTACTAGCCATGTGACCCTGAGCCTTACCTAACCTTCGGGGCCTCAGTTTCCTTATCTGTAAAATGGGTATAGTAACATAACAGTACCCAGCTGTATAACTGAAGGAGTTAAGACTTAGAAGGGGGGGTCGAAGGCTGCCTGCCTGTGATGTTAATAAATGCCCGGTAAGCGTTGCTATGGTCACCCTCCCTTCCCGTGTCTGTGTGATGGCTCTGCTGTCCTCCCACCGGCAGGGGCCCGCTCTAAGAGAAGGCTGCCCACCTGTGGACTTGCCAGGTGGCAGCCAGGCCAGAAAACAGTCGAGGAGGCTCTGACTTCTCGCCACACGGACAAGCTCAGACATGAAGAATGACGCCCGAAAACCTTCATGTGTCAATCAGCCCCTCGGGTTATTCTAAGCGGCTGGGCGTGAGAGGAGACACCAGCAGAGCGGCTCCCGCCTGGCAGTCCCCAGAGCCTGCAGGGAAGAGGGACTCAGTCAGGTACGGCGTGATCCAGCCACAAGCCCCGCCATGTCAGGTTCTCATGTCAAAGCGGGCAGGCTGCAGGGGCCCAGAGGTCCAGTCGAATACTCACCTGGACGTTGCTGCACGGGTGTTTGGTAGATGTGGCCAGACTCCACAGTCAGAAGGCTTTAAAGAAAGCAGATTACCCCCTCCCCCCAAAAAATGTGGGTGGGCCTCATCCAATCAGGCGAAGGCCTTAAGAGCAAAATCCGAGGTCTCCCTGAGATGAAGGAATTCCGCCTCAAGACCACAGCTTCCGGCCTGGGTTCCAGCCTCGTGGCCCACCCTACAGGTTTCAGACTTGGCACCTCCCCCCCCTCGAAATCATGTGAGCTGATTCCTTAAAATTGATGTCTCTGTGTCTCTCCATCTGTGGTGCTGATACAGCCCCTGTGATCGAGGTGAGCAGGAGGCAGAAGGGGAGGCCCCCTCGCCACTGGTATAATAAGATGAACAAGCGCTGGCTGGTTGCTGGGCACGCTGCTAAGGGATCGCAGGTTGTCCCATTTAAGCCAACCAATCACCTTCCTCTGTTTCTCGAGACTTCAGATGAGATGCTGCCACAGCAGAGGATGGGATGCCTGCATTCGCATTTTAAGGTTATTTCTAGATTTCCCTAGCGAGTTCAGCTGTTGATACTCCTACCAATCATAGATTTAATCCAATGGGTGAAAAATAGTATTTCATCATCTTTTATTTATTGTGGTAAAAATCCCATAACATGAACTTTACCATCTTAACCATTTTTTTTTTTTTTTGAGACAGGGTCTTGCTCCGTTGCCCAGGCTAGAGTGAGTGTAGTGGCATGATCACAGCTCAATGCAGCCTCCGACTCCTGGGCTCAAGTGATCCTCCTGCCCCGGCCTCCCGAATAGTAGCTGCGACTACAGGCACTAGCCGCCGTGTCTGGCTAATTTTTTAAAATTTTTTCGTAACGTTGGGGGTCTCGCCACATTGCTCAGGCTGATCTCAAACTCCTGGCTTCAAGTGATCCTCCCGCTTCAACCTCCCAAACTGCTGGGATTACGGGCGTGAGCCACTGCACCTGGCCCATCTCCACTACTTTAAGTGCACAGTTCAGCAGTGTTAAGTGTATTCACATTATTGTGAAACAGACCTCCAGAGATTTTCCATTTTGCTAATCAGAAACTCTGTATCCATTAAACAATGACCCCGTTTCCCCTCCCCCGACGCCCCATGTAACCATCATTCTAATTTCTGTTTCTACGAGTTTGACCACTCTAAGTCCCTCATATAAATGGGAGTATTTGTCCTTTGGAGACCGGCTTGTTTTATTTAGCTACAATGACCTCAAGGTTCGCCCATGTTGTAGCACGTGTCAGAATTTCCTTTTAGCACTGAATAATATTTCACCGTTGTGCACCCCGCATTTTGTTTATCCGTTTGTCTTCAGCGGACACCTGGGCTGCTTCCACTTCTTGGCTGTCGTGAACGGTGAGGTCTCAAATATCCCTCTGAGATCTGCTGTCAGTTCCTTTCGATGCATGCCCAGAAGCGAGTACCTGGGTGGGGGTGGGGGGGTGCTTTGTTATTGACATTTCCTCGAGAGTCCCCGTGGGGCTGGACCCACTTCCCTGTCCTTCCTGGCCAAGTCATACATATTATCTTTAGCATCACAGCCGTGGGTGGCATCTTTGCCTCTGTGTCTGGCTGGCCACACACCGCCTGCCACCCTGCTCCGCACAGAGGTGATGTCTGGCACACTCTGACGCAGGTTCTGGACCTCCGGAAGGTAGCCGAGAGATGGCATTTATTCGTCATTTGCTGGGTGAATAAACAGCTGCTGAAAATCGGTGAGCCGTGGGTGAAGGAGAGCAGGGCACGAAGGAAAGCCCTCATCTCCTACCCATAGCAATTTCGCTTTCCACTGCCACTGAACCGAAAAGAGAACAGGACAGGGGGAGTGTTTGGTTTGGGGTCTGGCAGGAGGCTTTGAGGCAAACAATGCAAGCGGGACATTGCCAAGGAAAGGGGGTGGCTTTGGCTTCCTGTGGACGGTCACCTCACACAGCCTGCCGGCAGCAGCACGGCAGCCCCAGGGCCACCTCCTGCTGGGAGCTGCCTCCAGGCCCCCCCCCCCCAGGCCTTGAGCGAGCCGCTCTGGAGGGCTGTTTACAGACAGCTCCTGCAGCAGCTCGAAAAGCATGATGCACGGGCACTTGCCCTCTGCAGAGCCTGGCGCCTCAGGTGCAATCAGTGCGGCTCTCCTCGCCCCCCCAGGTAGAGAGTGGGCTATCATCTCAAAGGACAGACAGCCAGAGCCTTGCCGTGCTGGGGGTGTGGGGTGGCGGGTGGAATTAGCTGTGTACAAACGAGCAACACGAAGCCAGTGATGGCCCATAACTGCTATGGAGGATCCACAACACACTCAGGTCTGGGGCTTTGCCAGGCAAAGACCCACCAGCCTTTCTACAACGATTTCCCCAGGCAGCAGAAAAGTCGGGAGATGCTGAGCCTGTTCCCGGAACACCAGTTCCCTCCCTCGCAGAGAACCTTCACTCTCCCCCAGTTACCCATTTCCCTGACTTTCCTGGCACTGGAATGTTCCGCCAGGAAAAAAAAAAAGGCTCCTTTCAATAAAAAAAAATACATTCCCCAGACTCCCTTGCAGCTAGCTGTGGTCACATGACCAAGTGCTGGCCAATGGGGCATGAGCAGAGGAGGAAGGGATATTTACAACTTCCCGGCCATGCCTGCAAGGAAAGGCGTGTGTTATGGTGACAGCCCAAGCATTGAACAGCCACTACCGCGCAGGCTCTGAGAGATGACACAGGCTGGCCATGGCGAGCCCCGGCCGTGCCAATGTGCGTTAGCCTGGGCACGCCTGCCCCTGGGCCAGAAAGGGGAGTTGGGGTGAGTGGCGCAAGTGGAGGCTGCATCCCGTGGTTGGCAGATGAACCAGGGAGTCAGAAATTCTGGGTCCCAGGCACAGGGGACTGCCGAATCGGCCCACACGCCGCACACCTGGAGCACTGCACACCTGGAGCATTGTTCCAAGTTATCCTGGAACTTCATTGCAGCAGCCAAGCCTGACTCTACTAACACATCTCCCACCCCACTTCCCTCCTCCCGCTCCAGTTTTGCTTTCCAGGCTAATGAAATGGAACCGTTTCCTGCTGCGACAACTATCATCCCAGCACAGCCGAGGCGCTTTGAGCAGCTATTGCCGGCTGTGCTGGGCTGAGTGGTAGCCTCCCCCCGAGAGAAAAAACAGATGTCCACATCCTGAGCCCCGGCACCTGCGGAGAATGAACAGGGGTCTCTGTGGATATGTGTGTAGGGGTCTCGGGGTGACGCCGCCCTGGTTTGGGGTGGGTCCTTACGAGAGATTGAAGAAGAAAAGACGCGGAGATGGAGGAGGCGGCTGCCTGGAACAGAGGCAGAGGTTCGGGCGAAGCTGCCGCAGGCCAAGGACTGTCCACCAGAGCCAGCGGAGGCCAGAAGAGGCAGGAAGGATCCCGGGCCCCTCGGTGGGAGCACGGCCCTGCCAACGCCTTCCCCGCAGACGCCTGGCCTCCAGGACTGGGAGAGAACAACCGTTCTGCTGTCTCAAGTTGCCCAGTTTGTGGTAATTAATTTGTTCTGGCAGCCCCGGGACACGCACACACCGGGGCTACTATTTTTCTCTGCCACCTGGGAAATTTTTGTCCCCTTCCTGCTGAGGAGAACGTGTCTATGTGGACAAGTAGTCCAGGGGCATTGCCACTGGCCCCCCCAGTTGTCTGAGTGCCCCCCCGGGGTTCTCTGAGTGCACACCCCGCGCCTCCCGCCCCATCCAGGCCCAGCCCCGAGATCCTGCCGCCCCCCCACCCCCTCGCCGGCCTCACTCCCTCCTCCCAGCCCCCCTCTGACGACGGGGGGTGCGGGCGGGGGGTGGGGGACCCACCGTGGCCTCTGTGAGATTCCGGGACCTGCTCCGGGGGTCCTGCCTCTTGACACGGAAAGGGCGGGGTCCCCCTCCGAGCCTCAGGACCATCCGGACGCCGCACGCTCCGAGAGCCTGTTTTGGAAATCAAGAGCTCTCTGCCCGCATTCCGACCATAGCACCCTAATCCCTCCTCCGGGAGCTGCTGCCGTCCGGGCGGCCGAGCCGGCCAGACGCGAAGGCCATGCGGGTCATGGAGCACACGGAGCAGAACACAGAACACACGGAGCACACGGAGCACACAGAGCACACGGAGCAGAACACAGAACACACGGAGCACACGGAGCACACGGAGCCGCTGCGGGAGGGACCTGAGCGGGGGGCTCAGGCACACGGTGTGCGCCGTGTCACGCACACACGCCCACGCCAGGGGCCCAGGGAGGGGGAGAGGGACGGTGTGGGGGCGCCCGGACCCCCGCTCAGGGCCTCTGGGGCGGCCTGCTCCCCTCTCGTGCTGAGTCCTGCTCGCGTGGCCCCCCTGGAGCAAGCGCCACCGAGCGCCTGGGTTCCGGGGCTCCAGACGCCCAGCTGCGCCCAACACGCCCAACACGCTAGGGGTCAAGGGCTTGCGGGGCCCTTGACCCCTAACGTAAGAGAAGCTGACCCCTCGGGGTTTCCCCAGACCTTGCCGCCCCTGAGGCCGGGCTGCAGAAGGCGGCCCCCGCTCACTGGGCCCCTCGCTCCCCGGCGTCCTCGCGTCACTGCGGGGTAGCCGTCTCGTTCTCGCGGAGGGTGGGGCCCCGCGTGCCTGGCACTCGGCAGGTGCACGTGCGTGTCGGGGAGGCTGAGGGGCAGCCCCCACACCCCCAGCAGCGCCCCCATCGTCACCATGTGCATGGATCATGAGGATGTCGAGCTCCAGGACCTCTGAGCTGGCACCACACCGGGTGTCGGGGGGTTACGGCCTCCAGGAACGAGGCTGGACACTTGCTGCCCCCAGGACAGGGACTTGTAGAAGGGGCAGAGGACACCAAACAAGGGACATGCTTTATTTTTTTTTTAAATTTTTTTAGAAAGAGTCTCACTCTAGAGTGCCGTGGCATCAGCCTAGCTCACAGCAACCTCAAACTCCTGGGCTCAAGCGATCCTCCTGCCTCAGCCTCCCAAGTATCGGGGACTACAGGCATGCGCCACCACGCCCGGCTAATTTTTTCTATTTTTAGTTGTTTGGCTAATTTCTTTCTATTTTTCATAGAGACGGGGTCCTGCTCTTGCTCAGGTTGGTCTCGAACTCCTGGGCTCAAGCGATCCTCCTGCCTCGGCCTCCAAGAGTGCTAGGATTACAGGCGTGAGCCACCACGCCCGGCCAAGGAGCATATTTTAGATGGTGACAAGTGTAGCACCGAGAAGAAAATAAACTGGGGGGACATGAGCAGTAGGGAGGGCGCCTTGTAGGTGGGGCGGCCCCTGCGAGGAGGCGGGGCTTGACCCGAACCAGGGAGACAGGGAAGGAACCAACTAGGGACGGAGACAGGGAGCCAAGGGGAGTCCACCCCCAAAGCCTCCTCTTGGGGCGCCAGGCCCCCACTCTTCAGGGGGACAGTGGCACTCTGGGGTCCTAGTTCTGCATGTGCCGCTGTGGCAAAGCGACGTCACCTCTCTGTGCCTCAGTTTCCCCTGTCGAGTGGGGTTGATGCTAGCAATAGTCTGGCCACCCAGCACCATGGAGGATTGGATAGATTAATGCCCGGCAACGCGGAGAAGGGTGTTTGTTCCCAGATGTTCGGGGAATCGTAGGAGCACTGGGGAATTTGCAAAGCCATGGGTGCTGCCCGGGCCACTCAGGGGGCTGGAGGTTCCCACTGGCGTGTCCCCAGGCCCGGGGACAGATGGGGTCTCAGGGAACAAATTATCCCAGAGGGTGGGGGTCCCGCCTGCATCTGTGCCCTCAGAGGCCCAGGGCAGGCAAAGCGCCCCCCAAACCCAGCTCGCACCGGCAGCCGCTGAGCAGGAGCCGGCGCCGCGCCCGGAGCCAGCGGGCTGCCTGCACTTCTCGGAAAGGCTCCGCTCCCGTCCCCCAAAATGAGCAAAACCCCAAACCCCACAGACGCACAGACGCGCCACACACACCACGGTCTGCAGCCCCCGCCCTGTTTCCACGCCGGTGGGAGCCGCGGATCATCCAAGTGCACTGAACCCTTTCTGTTTGCTTCATGAAAAATGTGTTCTGTTTGTGTTAGCCGCACTGTTTGTTGTTTAAAAGAATGAAATAACTAAAGCAAGAGGAACTCCGCGTAGTCCTGGATTTTTATCTTTATCGGCACATGAGATGTACGGATAAAACTAGACCTGTCGCCAGTTGCACCAACGCCCTGTAATGAATTTTATGCGTTGCGCACTGATTTGCAACGCCCTGCCTTTTATCTAACAAATGCACATATGTGCCGATATGTGAAAAATCAGATGTCTAACCCGCATTGCTCTCCTGTGGCTGCCGTCACAAATGGCCACTACCCGGGTGGCTTAAAGCACTAGCAATGTGTGTGTCCTCCCACAGTTCTGGAGCCGGAAGCCCGAAAGGTGACAGCAGGTGACAGCAGGTGACAGCAGGGCTGGTCCCTTCTGAAGGCTCTGAGC